CATCCCAGTTTGCTCCCAGTTCCCTCTTTTCCTCCAAGATCTTCTCAGCTCCTTCTCTCCCAGTGCTCCCAGTCCCTTTCCAGTCCCTCCCACTGCTCCCAGTCCCCCTCCCAGTGCCCCAAACTGGTCCCAGTCCATCCCAGTGCCCCTCCCAGTGCTCCCAGTACCTCGAGGCGCTGGTTGAACTGGGCCTTGAGCTCGAAGTAGGGCCGGCTCCCAGTGCTCCCAGTTCCTCCCAGTGCTCCCAGTATCCCCAGTATCCACTCCAATCCACCTCCCAGTGCTCCCAGTCCCTCCCAGTGCTCCCAGTGCTTTTCCAGTCCCTCCCAGTGCTCCCAATCCATTTCACAGTGCCCCAAACTGGTCCCAGTGCCCCTCCCAGTGGCTCCCAGTGCTCCCAGTACCTCGAGGCGCTGGTTGAACTGGGCCTTGAGCTCAAAGTAGGGCCGGCTTCCAGTGCTCCCAGTCCCTCCCAGTGCTCCCAACCCATTTCACAGTGCCCCAAACTGGTCCCAGTGCCCCTCCCAGTGGCTCCCAGTGCTCCCAGTACCTCGAGGCGCTGGTTGAACTGGGCCTTGAGCTCGAAGTAGGGCCGGCTGCGGGCGATGTCGCGCCGCAGCGATTTCTGCAGCCGCTGCACCTCGGCCTCGGCCTCCTGGCACAGCCGCGTCACCCGCTGGTGCTCCCGCTCGCTCCAGAGCCGCTCCTGCTCCGCCTCGTTCACCTGGAATTCCCAGAGAGGCCGGAATTCCCAACGGGAAGGGGGGATTCGGAGGAATTCCCAAAAAACCCCGCGAAAATCGGGTGAAAAACGGCAAAAAAACGGCAAAAAACGGTGAAAAAACGGCTCGGAAATGGTTCAAAATCGGCCAAAAAATTGGGGGTGTTTGGAGTTGGGAATGGAGGAAATCCTGGAAAAATTGTTGGGAATGAGGGAAATTCCTGGAAAAATCTTGGGAATGGAGGAAATCCCAAAATTTCGCAAAAAACCCCGCGAAAATCGGGTGAAAATTGGGTGAAAAACGGCAAAAAAAGGGCGAAAAACGACCCAAAAATGGGTTGGGATTGGGGGTGTTTGGGGTTGGGAATGGAGGAAATCCTGGAAAAATTGTTGGGAATGAGGGAAAGTCCTGGAAAATTCTTGGGAATGGAGAAAATCCCAAAAAAAAAGGTTAAAAAAGGGGAAATTCCAAAAAAAAAGGGTAAACCCTTTCCCACCTTCTCCAAACCCCATCCCACCTTCTCCAAACCATTCCAAACCTTCTCCAAACTCCATCCCACCTTCTCCAAACTCCATCCCGCCTTCTCCAAACCTCGCTCCACCTTCTCCAAACCTCATTCCACCAATCCCAAACCTTCTCCAGACCTTCTCCAGCCCCATCCCCAGGGCTCGCACCTTCCTGGTGGCGTGGTTGAGCATCTCCTGCCAGGTGGGGTCCAGGCGGTTCTTGCCGGTGCCCATGCCCTGCTCGGCCACGAAGACCATCTCGCGCGCCGCGTTGTGCATGCCCACGGCGCGCTCGTAGCGCAGCGCCGCCCGCTGCGTCTCCTGCTGCGCCTGCAACCGCCCAGAGCCGGGAATTCTGGGAATTCTGGGAATTCTGGGACATGTTCCGGGTGGGCGGGA